CTAGCTGAGAATATGGTCCTGGATTTGTTTAATGTAACCATCCTTGGTGAAGTCTCATGAGTCTGATGTCAGACATCACAGATACTAGGGCTAGGCTGTATCCAGGATAAGGAAGTCCACGGAGAATACGAGAACACGGTAACAGATGCTCCCATTCTCCAGCCAGAAAGCCGGCAGGTGCTTGTATCGGACCTCCTGCAGCCTCCTCTAGGCACCACTAGCAAAGGAGGTTTGAAAAGGGGGTAGAATGTAATAGCAGAGCTTCTCTTCTCAGATGTGCTGGAGTAAATCGCGACAGCAAAACAAGTGCGTGAGAGAGCACTTCAAAATCCAATGAGCATTTATAATGAATGTCTAAAAAGAAAAAAAGCTGACATATTATTATTACTATCGCTATTTATTATTTACACTACGGTAACACCTAGAGGCCCAGCCAATATCAGCACCCCATTGTGCTAGGCGCTGTACAAACACACAGTGAGAGACAATTTCACCCCAAAAGACATCACAGTCTAAAGAGGCAAGACAAAGGGTGGGAGGGAAGAAGATTTGTTATTATTTCCATTTTACAGAAGAGGACCTGGGGGACAGAGAGATTAAATGCAATGCCCCAGGTCACACAGGAAGTCTGTGGCAGAGCCAGGAATTGAGGACAGGCCTTCTGAGTCCCAGCCCAGTGCCTTAATCATGAAACAATCCTTCCTTTCATGACCATTCAGAATATAAATACAACCCTCATTAGAAAAATTACTGAACTGACATGGATGCTTAGACCCATGGTGTCTCTCAGCAGGTGAGTAACATTCTTTCTGTCCAGACTTTGCAAAGCAGAAGCACCTGTAACGTTCATTCTTCAGAACAATTCTGCTCTCAGATGTGCATACACAAGTCTCATGAAAGCCAACGGCCACCTTACATATTCAAAGGCAGAATTATATCTTGGTTTTGCACAGCAGAAAGTGAAGCTGAGCAAAGAGTCAGAATACATTTTCATGAAATTTTACCCTTCTTTTTGGTCAAAATTTCTAATTTTGAAAATCTCTGACCAGCTCCAATGGATAGTCTTGGATGGAAGGTGATAACCAGCGTGCTCCACAAAATACTCCTGGGGGAATTCTGCACCACTGCGTGTGCGCATAATTAGCGAGCCACACATATTTTTAATCTTTTTGCACAGAAAAAAGCTTCTGCTGGAAAGTTGCTTCAATTCTGACTTTTGCCCACCAGAGGGCACTGTGGCAATAGAACACAGCAGCAGCTACCAGCAGAAAATAACTTCTGCAATTCCACCTTTTTCCCACCAGAGGGCCTGTGGTGATAGAACACAGCAGCAACTCCCAGCCAGCTAGGGAAGAGAAAGAGCCTGCAGAGCCTTCTTCACAGCGGGCCAGGTCAGGAGATAGGAGCTATGGGGAGACAGACTGCGTGGAGTGCTGTGTAGGGTCAGACAGGGGCTCATAAGGGCTAGTGGAGGACAACAAACTGGAGCAGGGGTTGAATGGGAGTGTAGGCACAGAGCCACAGAGAGGAGGGAGGTGCAGGGCCACATGGTGATGGGGGGACTGGGTCTCTGAGTGGAGGTGGGGGGACATGTGGACAGGGGTGCCAGGACACATTGGGATGGGGGAGTGGGAGTCTGAGTGGGGATGAAGGAACACATGTGCCTGACTGAATGGGAGAGGCTCGGAGTCAGCCAGGATCTGCATGGGGGAAGCTCCCTAACAATCCCTCCCTGCCCCTGCAAAAAACCTGTTCCATACTTTTCCCACCCATACCCAACAACCCTCAAAGTTGGCACCCAGGCTCCTTCCCAGCAATTAATTCCCTCTCCCTCAGCTACTCCGTTACCCCTGACTCCCCCCCCCCAGCCTTTACCCTGCTTCTGGGAGGTGCAGGAAATATGGTTCTGTATTGTAGATTCAGAGTTCTGTATTAATATGCCTAGTAAGGAATCTATTTGTCAAAAAATATTCCAAATCTTTTTTGTCATCTGTATTGTTACAGACATTTTTGCTGACAGGTATTTTGAAATAAATCACCAAAAATAATTGAAACCGGTGTGATTATATGGTGTTATTTTGACAAATAAAATATGAGAATTTGAAAATATTGTGCACAGAATTTTTAATTTTTTGGTGCAGAATTTGCCCAGGAATAACAAAAGTATGGGTGAGAGTTAGGGAAAAGAGAATCTTTCATTCAAGGAACCACTACTATTACAAAGAGAAGCTTATTGCCCACAAAGGGGAAGTCAGTTTCTCAACCTTGGATGGATGAAGATTTGAGAACTGAACCTCTGGCTTTAGGGGACCTGGCTGACATGTAAGCCCCAGTCAGTGTGCCACAGTGAAAATAAAGACCAAGTTGGTAAGTGCATTCCGCACACTGAACTGAAAGTCACTGAACTTCGTTGGGTATTCTGGCTGCCATGGGTAGTCTGTCAAAGATGCATTTTTCAGCTAAGCTTTGGAAAGTTATTGCCAGTGACTATTGCCAGATGGCTTTCCAAATGATCCCCAATGAGTGGTGATGATCACAAAGTCAAGTGTTTGCCCCTTATCCACATACTTGTTATCCTCGTTTTCTCTCACAGGTGTATTGGATACAGTACTGTGCAGATCCAGTATTGCACAGGTCACAAAATGCGCCTGTCCTCCTTTAAACCATTGCAAGGCGGCAACACTAGCCAACACCCACTTGTGAATTGTCTATATTGCACCAAAGACGGTTGCAGAATTCAGACAACTTCAACTGTACTCTTAATCAGCATCATCTCTGTAACCCACCAAAACAATTCCTTAAAAGAGAGAGCGCGAGAGAGCCTAGGACCCAATTCAGCCCTGGCATAAAAGGGTATTTCCTCAGCTGAACTTAAGAGGCCAGATCCCAAGGACTAGATCAGTGGAAACTTGCATGTGTAAAGACTTTCGAATTGAACCCCAGATTTATGCCTGTTCATACCAGTGCTGAGTTTAGCCCCTTACATGACTATTATGGTCCTGCCCACTCTATGATCTCCAGCGTTAATTGCATAGGAAATAAGCAATAGCATCTTCCGCCTCTAGGGCACCATGAACTCACCCAGATTAGCAGAACCCACAATTAACTGATGGGAGTTCAGTGTAGTTCATGTGAAATAAATTGGTGGCCTCAGTCTCTCACCTTTTTCCTGCCTCCCACTATCTTAGCTGTCTGTCATTCAGCTTCTTTGCATCTATAAGTGTTACTTTGGTTCTAATCACTCAGCTCTTCCTTCCCACTCTCCCTCTTCCATCTCCTGATCTATCTGGCCCCATCATCAGTCAGAACGCTCAGTCATCGCGTGTAATATCTCCTCCTACATTTGGGAAAAGTCTGAATACCCTGTTGGCTCTGAAGAGCACTTCACCACTCTCAAACCTCAGTCCTAATCCCGCGACTACCAGCGACAGTGCAATCAGGTTCATGGTAAGACATCAGTCTGTGAGCCAAATGACCAGAATTTGAGCTTCACAGAGGTTTTTAGCAGGTGTCCAGAAGAGTTTGCCTTGCTGCAGCTTAGCTAACCAAGAAGTCAGAAACAGAAGAGTGTCTCAAATTGCTTTCATAGTATGAGTTCAGATTTATTAAGGACACAGAGAAATGTGTAAGTTGCTCAGGACATGAGCAATACCGTTTACACCACCACCACGACTGGAGAGATGGGAGCTGCAACTTGAAACAAATTGCAGAATTGTTAAAGGCAGTTAACATCCCGGTCAGCAGAAAACTGCTACTACCCTGTTGCTCAGGGCAGCAGTCTGCCTATTCAAAGGATCGGCAGGGCACAGCTATTCAAATCCACCATTATTCCTACACAAGTGGCATGCAGCTTTTACAATTCAACAGACACAAAATTACAGCATTTAATAAATTACAGCTTAAATTAAAAGATATATTTCAAAGGGCAGAAGAAACTTCAAGTAAGCTTTCTTGGTAGTTTTGAGCATGCATTCATGGGACGGGAAGAAAATCTAACTAAGAGACAAGGCTGTTTGATTTGCCTGATTTTCAAGCCCTAATCAGGGTTTAGGTGGGTAAACCATGTGTTTAACATTAATCTGGTCAGAAATCCGATCAGAACAACTATGTTGGAAAGTTGTTTTATTTTGTGTGCTCCTGCTAACGGCTCACACTGGGCAAAATTCCTGTTCTCACAACAACCCAAACCAACCATTTATGTAGAGTGAAACAATTCAGGGATAGAAGACACCAAATCCCCCTCTTCAACCTGGAGCCAGGGCACAGGACAGCTATGTAGCTGGTCAGGGGCCATGGTTGGGGTACTAGTAGCTGCAATCCCCCTCCCCATGTGGTGGCCAGTGGATCTCTAAGCACTTGTGGATCATGCTTGGAAACTTTGCTATGGTCTTTGTAACTAAATGCAACTCCTGCACTAAGCACAGGGAATATCACACATACTGTGGCAATGCTAGCTGGGCATCAGAGGCACAATTTTAAAGCTTTCATGGTGAGCATCCTAGTCGCATTACCCCAGCCCATAGCACGTGCATCCTCCCACAGAACAGGTCTCCATGGAGCTAAGCTGCACAGGGGACTGTAGAGTGATCCTACATAGCCCCTCTTGGGCCTGTGGTTGGGATCATCTTGACAAAGTGGGAGAGATCATCAAGAGAGACTCACAGGCCCTAGAGAGCCTCTTTGATTTACATTAAATCAGGTGTTGCCCTCTTTCCAAGCAGAACCAGCATGGGGAAGAAATGTTTAATTTTTCTTTCAGATTTGAAGTGCTTTTTCTTTTTTTTCAGCTATTTTCTCCTGGCTTGGCTTTTGCGTAAGATTTCATGCACAGTGGCCCCAATTCAGCAAAACATGTAAACGTGCCAACTTGAAGCACGTGCCAAAGTCCATTCCTATTAAACTAAGGAATGCAGCCATCAGGGTCATTATGATGCAATTATCTTTGCATTCATATTCATATTATAGATGTTTCGGAATCCAATTCTGGTCTCACTGATACTGGGCTCAAAACCCTATAATTCCATTTTCCTTGATGTAGTTATTCCCGGTTTACACCCATGTAAATTAGAAGAGAAACCAGCCTAATGAGAGTTGAGGGGATTCTGCTGAGTATGGTTGCATTCAGGGCTCAGGGTTGGGAGAAATAAAACCTGAAATGTACAAATTCATTGTTACTAAGCCCTTAATGCTCTTCTTGTCAATTTCAACGTGTCTATGACTTCTAATTAAATGTGCCCTTTATGCATAAGGCAAGTTCACACTGTGAAATGCCTGTGGCTAGAGCAAGTTGTATCAGTACTTTCCAGCTGATATGTTGCTGTGAGGCTCCTTATTACTTTACTGCATCAACTAGATCGTTAAACAACCGGCAGCTAGGAGAAGCTTATGTCTCTACTGTACAGAAGGGTCAGTGAAGAAGCATTAGAGCCAAGCTAATTCCATGCTGACTTACACCACCCGCAATCCTGCAGTTACACTGGGTGTACATCAGGACAGAGTTTGGCCCCAAATGCCTAGAGCAGCTGTCCAGCAAGGGGCGGGGGACTCAGACAGTCTCACATTCAGTAGTTGCAGTAGAACAGACCCCGCAGTCACACCGTATGGCCATAGGGTATGTGTAGGAAGGGTCCACAGCATCAGCACAATTCGGCAGCTTCACCGTAACCAGCTTAGTCTCATTGTAGGTGCAAACTCGATGGTGCGCGTCGACGTACGGGGGATCCAGCACAGGCTTCTGTTAGGTGGGAGGGGGAAACGCTGACATCAGACAAAGGCAAGAGGAATTCAGGACAGCTTTGAGCAGGCACGAATAGCACTGGGGCTAGATCCTACAACCCCCACAGTCCCAGTTGCTTCCCTGGGGTTAATCACAAAAGTAGGGACATTTGGTTTGCAGGCCCATAAAGAGACTGTCTAGAAATAATTCTTAGGCTGATTGCTGTATGGGTCCCACTAAACTATTTCCCTTTTGGCTCATGACCATTTCCCTGAGAATTCTTTTGAAATGGAAGGTGCTGGCTAGGGCTGGTCAAAACCTTTTCTCTCAAAACTGATTTTTTTTTTTAAGAGAAAATTGGGGTTTCAGCTACATGAAATATTGCACAAAAAGTGATGCTGCTTTCTGTGGAAAATTGTGACGTTTTGTCAAAAAACCCAAACACCTGAAAACAAAAAAATATTCATAAATGCCACCACAACGCTGCGTGGGAGGAGTTGTAGTCTGGATGCTGCAGTCTCCTCTATGGGCCAGGCTCCCCAGCCAGCCTATCGAGTCCCCAAAGCACTGCAGCAATGGGACTCCCATGATGCACTACTGAGGCTCAGCAAAAAGGGGAAACCACAGTGCATCATGGGAGATGTAGTCTGGCCCAGCCCACAAGGGAGAACAGAGCATGAGGCACCTGTAGTACAACACCCGTGAGATTTATTTTTCAGTTTGGGGCCAAAAAAAATTGTGGTTTTGACTTTCACTGAAAAGTCTAAACTTTTTTTTTTTAAATACAAAAAAAGCACCCCATTTTCTGATCCATTCCAGTGTTGGGATGGGCTGCCGTGGTCTGACCAGAGCTCCCTGCACTCAGCACAGCTGCAGCTTGCAGGGGGAGGGCAGCCTGTGCCCGTGGATGGGGATGGGAAGTTATGCTTCTGCAGCATGATCCCTCTTTTCTCCTCACAAGAAGTTTGAAAGAGTGGGTGGGGCAGGATGGAGGGCAGAGGGATACGAAGGAGCCAACTGGACTCCTCTGGATTCTCCTGCCCCCTCCAACTTGCAGGGGGAAGCAGCACAAGTGAGTACAGCATAGGGATAGTTTAATTTGTGTTTGTTTCCCCTCTGTGATGTGGAAAGGGTTTGCCGTGCTCTTTACGGGAGTCCCAGGTGTCCGGGCACACTGATCACAGACACCATGTGCGTCAGAAGTCCCTCATGTTATTAAGTCCCCCATACAATACATCCGGGGACTCTCTAGGAACAGGAGGGCCAAAAACTTTATAAATTTAGCTTAACTCTGCTCCAGTGGCAGCTGCAGTCAAGTAAGGGCCTCAGCAACATCTGTGGCTCTCCAAGGAGCAGTGGGAGCTGGTGGAGCAAGGTGACAAGATGCATGTGGCTTTCAAAGGCTCCTTAGGTTATGGAGGTGGAACCCCCCCCCCGTCCCCACTTCCCCAGTTTATTCCACAGGGGAAGGGTAGCAAACAGCGGCCCAGCCTCCTCACCCCCAGGCAATAAAAGAAGGAGTAGGAAAGTCTGAACCAAAACTCAAAAACTTTTCCCCGTCGGTTATCAGCAGAATGAGTCCCTCGGCTTTACTCAGCGAAACCCCACTGACATTAATGGGATTTTCCCTGAATAAAGGCATACGGATCCAGCCCATTAAATTTTTACATTACAGCAAGCTAAAATGAGTCATGAGTTTGATCTCTAATGTGTGTAGACTTGCTCTCTCGCCCACTCACCCCCACGCCTCCATCCAGAACAGAACTACCTCATTTTCATCCTGGGCTGCAATTTAAATGGGACCAAATTAGAAAGACATTCTGTTTGGGATTTGCTGTTTGGAACAAAATATATTACCCATGAATCAAGGGCCCCATTTTAATCTCAAAGGAATTTTCTTTCGGTAAAGTCATACAGGGCTCTTTCCCCTAAGTGTTTAAGCCGTAAGAGGCTTTCAAATTGCATAATGAGAGTATTACGTAAGCACTTTATAAATATTACCACATGATGCGGGTGTTTCTCTTGAACAATGGTTCAAATGAATAACTCAAGGCAAATTTGTCAGTCACTGGCACTTGTATTTTGACCGTCATTCACCAGACCAGGGGCCTTCATGCTGACTTGTTGACTTGCAAGCACGGTCTTGTCATTGTGGTTATTTATTGTTTGTATTACGATAGTGCATCAGGGCCCCAGTTGAGATCAGGGTCCCATCGTGATAGGTGCTGTACAAATACATAGTAAAGACAGTCCCTGCCCCAAAGAACTGGCAATCTAAGTGTGATTTAGCTGCGGGGAGAAAGGAAATATCCTCATTTTAGAGTCAGGGAACCAAGGCAGAGCTAGATTAAGCAACTAGCCCGTGGCCATACAGGAAGTCCGTGGCAGAGCCAGGAGTCGAATGCGAATCTCCTGAGTCCTAGGTCAGGGGCTTCACCACAAGACCAGCCTCCCTGGTGCTAAGGGAATAACCATAAGCTGCTTCCTGCACCACTTGCCAATCTCCATTTGAAAAAAATAAAGCGACACTAACACTGGTGCTGTTTAGAGCAGTGGTTCTCAACCCACGGCCTGCTTGTGGCCCAATCAGCACACAGCTGCGGCCCATGTGACATCCTCAGGCCCATACAGGTAGTATATATATTGTATGGATGCGACCTACATAACACAGAGAGCTGCACATGCAGCCCACAGTGGTACATAGGTTGAGAACCACTGGTTTAGAGCTAGCTCCTTAGGCCACCTCTGTCCCCCAAGGTGCCCCTCAGGGATTGCTCACCTCCCAAGTCTCGCAGCGCCCCCAGCAGGCGTCCGTGGTGATGCGCATCCCCTTGCAGCCAGGTTTCCTAGCCAGGAAGGTGAACTCACGCACAGCGCAGCCAATGAAGGTGCGCAGGTTGATGTTGGAGGCTTTGAGTGCACTGACACAGCCAGCCAGTATCAGGAGAGGCAGGGAGCCCAGGACCACATGACGGAGCTTCATGCTGCACCCCAAGGTAAAAAGGAGACACATAGCGAGCTGTGACACATGCTCAGCCCCGAGGAGCTAGCACCCTTAGTCCTGGGCGTGTGTACTGTATCTGCAGTGCTGAGATTAGGAAGGGAAGGGAAGGGGAAGAGATGGCACCATCCCCTCTTAGCCACCCATTTCCTTTATGCATCCAGTAGTGAGGAGGAGTGAGAAGATGACATCCCCTTATTCCTCCCTCTGTACAACCCAGGCAGTGCTGCTAGGTAATGCAGGGCAGTGGCTGGGTTTGCTATAACTTCTGGGATTAAACTCATAAGCTTTAGCTGTGGGGTTTATCGAGCGCGGTGGGCCACTGGTTTCCCCACCCCTGAGCCTAGCGAATTTTGCAGAGCAGCAGGCAAGGCAGTGCTCCAGCTTCACTGGGAATAGGGTGGAGTGGAGAGAGAGAGAGGCAGGCGGGAGGGAGGGAACCCGGTGTCACAGGCTCACTAAACAGCCCTGCCAGGAACAAGGAAACAGGCTGAGCCGAACAGCCAGGGTCTCCTCCTCGAGGCTCACCTCTGCTGAAATGCTTGTTAAAAAATAACAGCCAATTCATAATGGCATCAGGGACAGATGGGGACAGTTGGGACTTACTCTAAAATAAATTAACCGGGGACAATTGCAAACACACCTTTGTCTATAACAGTTGTCTTCTCTCCCCACCCCTCATTCCTATGTTTCATTTGTCTTCAGATTGTAAACCCTGATCCTGATGGGAGGGAGTGCACTACCACAGTATACCTGTTGCTAAGAATACCCTGAATATTTTGCACACACATTTGTTCTCCAGAATGTAAACGCTTAATTCACTCCCTGGGGGCTGCAGCCCAGGCCGACAGAGATGCAGCAACACATGCCACCTGCCACCCACACACTTTGCCAGGAGACAGAGCTGGTCAGGGCAGCTAACCTGCCAATGCAGCCCAAAAAGTGACTGTTGCTAGACAAGGGAGGGCCGGGCCAAGGTACCTGAGAGATGCCTTGATTCAGCACATCTTGTAGGCAACTTCCACTAACCAAATTTCTATGAAACTTGCTTAGGCCCAGCAAAACCCACTGGGAAAGGACCCCCCACCCCTTCCCAATGCGGCTTCCCCTCCCAGAGAAGGGAGATGGAAACTGCAACAAATGAGTGAATCAAGCCCTACACCAATATATTCCTCCTTTACTTTTCAAGCCTTTATTTCATATAAAGTTTTCCAGGTAAAAACCCCAGCTACTGAAAGTTAACCTTGGGGGCATAGCCAACCGTACAGAAAATAGCACTGCACCCACTGAGCCAGATTCTCAGCTGGTACAAATCAGTGTCAATTGAAGTCAATGGAGCGACATCAGTTTACACCAGTGGAGGATCTGCCAGATTAAATAGACGCTTGACTATCTAAGTCCCATCGACCTGACAGCTCGGTTTGGTATGTCTTTCCAAAATGTAACCTCAGCGCATGAAGTTTTCCACACTGAAAACTTCATATTTGTATGTGTGTATACACACACTGACCATATATAGTATACACGCATGTGAATATGAAGTTTTCAGTGTGGAAAACTTCATGCACTGAGGTTAAACTTTGGAAAGACATATAAACATACACATACACACCTTATATGCACATAGTGAATTAAATACATGTATGTATGAGCTAATCTTGCGTTTCTCATGTAGAGAAATCCTAAAATTCTTTGTTTAAATAGTAATATTTGAGAACAGATTTCAGTACAAATTGAACATTTATTCTCTGCCACCTTAGCCAGACCTGGTTTAATCCTGAGCTGGAGCAGTGACATACAGCAAAACACAGAAGTACACTTACCTAACTTGTCGGATACAAATCTGCCTATGCAGTTTTAAATTGCAGATGGTGTTTCAGAATGTCAAAGTGAATGGCAGGAGACCCGCACAGCAGTCTGTGTCAGGTTTGCTCTTAGCAGATCTCCTTAGCAGCTGCTACTGGGCTGTTTAATTGCTCAAATTTATAGAAAAGGGCTTGTCAATCAAAGCAAAATAGAGGCAGATCCTTACATGAACTACCGAAGACATCAAAGACAGTGACTATAAAGCAAGCCTCAGCTTTCCAATACTGATTAACTTAAAGGGAATTGTTTCATAACATCACCACTGAAACAAAAGGGGTATCTGGTGAGTGACATAATTCTAGTGGAATAATGAGCATGCACTGGGGCAAGATGGATCTTCTTTGCCTTAGTGAAATCTCAACCCCTTGCAATTCGGATTGTAGTCAGACACTCAGGTAATCATTATCCCACAGTCAGCAAGAGATGGGCAAACACCACAAAGGAAGTATTCACAGTCATGCACACAAAACCCAGAATTCACACTGTGAACAAGACCCTTTCTAGTCACTTTCTGTAACCGTCAGTGAGTGATATTTTTTGTTTGCAAAAATGTTCACAGAAAGCAAAAGTCTCCTGGCCACTTATGCAAATATAGCCTTGTGCCCAGGCTCACACTAGGAAACTCTTCCATTTCCCTTGCCCTGCATATAAAAGTTTCATCCAGTCCTGGGGCAGAAACAACAGGCAACGTGGAGCTAGGAAAAGGGGTCCAGATGCAAATCATTGTAATTCTGTCAGAGGCTCATGTGTCATCTCACTTCCCTGCAATCTCAGTTTCTCCATCTCTAACATTCACCTTTGCAAAGTTCTCTGAGATCTGTGCATCTCAGAAAAGCACTACACAAGTGCCAGTTATTAGAACAAGCCCATCAAGTTGCTCACTGCTAATCTGAAAGGGTCAGTTGGTACCAGGAGTGGGACCCCACTCTTGAGACAAGAAAGCTTTGGACAAGAAGGCTCTCAACTCAAATTTACCCCCAACCACCACTGGTTTGACAAAGCCAAATTCTGCTGGCCTCCAGGACATAGTGCAAAGCCCATCTCTTTTCCCGGGCACGATGGTGGTGATCTTTCTGTTTGCCTTGCATGCCCTTTTGATAGGACATATACGTGCCTCCAGAGAGAGTGTCTAGAAATCAACCAATAAATGCATTATTCATTAATCATTTAGCATTCAGCACCAAAGAAGGCAACCGAGAGCTCCATCAACATGCAGGTATGTTACACAGGTTAACAATGCTCTTCATGCACTATCCAAGTTTCAGGATTCTAGTTGCATTTTTCCTACAGCAGTAATACAGGCTCCGATACTGCAATTGCATCCACAAGAGCAGAATCATGTGCCCATATAGAGCCCATTGACTATGCTAGGCACAGGAGTCCATGACACGGGTCAGTAGCAGATCAAGACTTGTGTCCATATATATTCTAATGCTGCTGAAAATATTCAGGCAGCAAGGTCTCCCTTCTTTACCTTTTTATATCCTCCTGTTGGTTGCTTTTCCTGCCACAGTGGTGTCCTGCCAATCTCTCCTACCTGTAAATGACACCAGTTTATATTCACTGCCACTGATTTGAGGTACACCCCTCATGCACATCACCTCTGACTTTGGCCTCCATTATTTAAATTAGATGGGGGCACCCAATCCTATTGGCCATTCTCAGGCGAGAGTTTTGTCCAACCAAGAACTGCAGATTCTGGCCCTGAAAGACGCAATGCAGGAGTACAGGTCTAAGCTAATGGTCCCTATATGGTGGTGTCTGCTACAGCAAGACTGAATTATGCAGAATAGATTCATAGCCCCCAAGGCCAGAAGGGACCACGGTGTTCATCCAGTCTGATCTCCTGTATAACACAGGCCAAAGAACTTGCCCAAAATAATTCCTTTTGAACTAGACCATATCTTTTAAAAAGACATCCAATTTTGATTTAATGATGGAGTCTCCAGTGATGGAGACTCCACCACAGCCCCTGTAAATTGCTCCAGTGGTTAATTACCCTCACTGTTAAAAATTTATGTCCTATTTCCAGTCTGAACGTGGCTAGCTTCAGCTTCCAGACATTGCACTGCATTATACTTTTGTCTGCTAAACTGGAGAGCCCATTATCCAATTTTTATCCCCCATTTAGATTGTAATCAAGAGCCCTTAATCTTCTTTGTCAAGCTAACCAGACTGAACAAAATCCTGCCCCAAGCACCGCTGGGATATAAACCAAGAGGCAGGGGCGGCTCTATGTTTTTTGCCGCCCCAAACATGGCAGTCAAGCGGCCTTCAGCAGCACGCCTGCGGGCGGTCCGCTGGTCACGCGGATTTGGCAGCGATTCTGTGGGTGATCTGCCGGTCCTGCGCCTTCAGCGCACCCGCTGCCGAATTGCCGCCGAAGCCACGGGACTGGCGGACCTCCCGCAGGCGTGCCGCCGAAGGCTGCCTGACTGCTGCCCTCACGGCAACCAGCACGCCGCCACCCCCCCCCCCATGGCTTGCCGCCCCAGGCACGCGCTTGCTGCGTTGGTGCCTGGAGCTGCCCCTGCCAAGAGGTCCTGTTTCCTAGGCAGATGCTTTAGCCAACTGAGCCAGGACATCCTCTTACTTTAATTGCATCACACTCACTCTTTTCTCCTTGATTCTTTCCCCAGAAAGTTTATCCCTTTAACCTGCAGCTATATTGGATATTTAAATAGTTACTAAGGTAGCACCCAGAGATCCCCATCAGGATCCATGCCTCATCATGACCGGCAGGAGCACAGTTTACAGGACAGATGAATTTGGTGGAGGCCCCAGGAAGCTACGCCACATGGCCATGGCTGGGATGCTAGCTGCAGTTGCAGCATCTCTGTAAATAGTTCACTCAATGAAGAGCCAGTTTCATTGTAGAAACAGAGAGACCTTCCATGTTATTACCCAGCACATGGGACATGAAACAGCAGAGAAGCATTGGCTCTCAGTTTGTGCTAGAAGAGAGTACTGGTGCTCAAGTCGTGTAGGCTCTGACTCTCTTTGAGCACTGCCAATTCCTGATACAGTTTCCAGGCTGTGGCCAATGTGAAACAGACAGTCATTGCTTGACTTCACCCCTGCCTGTGTGTGAAACAACAGTGAACAGGGAGACTGTTCGTGTTTGACAAGTGTTGTGCAAGTGCTATGTATGGTCATGAACCAGGACACAGGACTAGGGCTGCAGCCGCTGCTTCTCCAACAGATGTATTTACTTTGTGAAAAACATGAGGGGCATTTTGTGGGAGGCAAACAGAAGTTTAACTAGACAGCTCAAAACACTTTAGATTTTGGTTAAAGACACTCCTGATGCTACCCTAGCAAGCCGTTGTTTATTAATATTATTTATGCTGGAGGATAGGTCCATCAAAGGCTATTAGTCAGGATGGGCAGGGATGGTGTCCCTAGCCTCTGTTTGCCAGGGAATGGGTGACAGGGGATGGATCACTTGGTGATTACCTGTTCTGTTCATTCCCTCTGAAGCACCTGGCATTGGCCACTGTCAGAAGACAGGATACTGGGCTAGATGGACCTTTGGTCTGACCCAGTATGGCCGTTCTTATGTGCTATTGTAGAGCCTAGAGGCTCCACTCCAGATTGAGGCCCCATCATGCTAGGTATTCTATATGTAGGAAGTGAACAGACCCTGCCCCATCAACTTACAGTTCAAGTAGCTAAAACAGACAAGGAGTATGAGACAGGCCCATGGAGAACAGAGGCACAAAGAGATGAAGGCGACTTGCCCAAAGTCAGAGAGAGCCAGGAATTTGCTGAAGCCCAGTCCAGGGCTTTAACCACAAGACCATCTTCCCTCTCAGGAACTATTGACGAGCCTGTCGTAAAGAGGCGCTAGAAGAACTGGGAGGATTTTTAATTTAAATACCAGCGTATGGTTATGTCCCACCCTTAGCTTCATTGCCCATTTATTGGTACATACCAAGCTGTAACCCAAAGTCAGAAATCTTCAAAATGCCCAGTTCAGCTTGTTCTTGTTTAATGTCTTCGAGGGGGAAATGCTGCTGTAGAGGAGCCCTTTTAATGTAATTCTTGCTGCTCACGAGTGCTTGGCCGTGCTGCCTTTTATTTGATTAGAAAAACTACGTAAACATTTGGTTAGTGGAAGCCCTACATGTCCTTGATTATCAGAAGTGCTGAGCAACCACATCTCCAAATGAAATCAACAGGAGCTGATAAGTGTGGTAGGCCCAAAATCTGACCTATTCCTTCCCTCCTGCCCAGGCTCTTCCCCGAGGGCCCAATCCTGAGCCTTGCTGAGGACTTTTAAATCCCAGCGACATCAATGGGAGCACTAGGCACCTCACGAGCAAAGGCTCAGCTTAGAGTTGATCCCAAACTGCCAATTATTTTTCAGAGAAAATTTAAAAAGCAAGCCCCACATATCCTTTTTTAAATTTTCTGCTGCCCCTGCCCTTTTTTTCAACTAAAAAACAAAAACAGAAACAGTCTGGTTTTGGGAAAAAACATTTTTCATTTAAAAATGTTGACCAAAACAAAAAGGTTCCACAAAACTAGTCGTTGTGTTCAGAAAGTTCTCTCTCATTACAAGAAAAAAAAGTTTACATGATTTTTTTTGTTGTTGCTTTTTTGTTTTGTTTTTTTATTTTTTGGGGGGGGGGTTTACCAGCGTTAGCCCAGGTTCCAAAAAGGAAAAAACGGGTGAGATTTTAGACCTGACACCTTTGACAGGTTCCCCTGGCTCCAGTGTTTAGAAAAAGAAGGGCTGGATCTTTCAGCTGTCGAGAATGGGGTCCCTGGTCATCATTTGCATCAATTAAAACAATAAAATAAAATGAGCAGTAACAAGTTGGAAACAAATTCCATTCTATTGCAAACCTATTCCTTCCACCCCTCCCCGCATCTCAAAAGCCCTCGCTCTTCATGGGACAGGTGCTGGTGTTTAAGGCGCTGCGTCATGTCTAATGGGTAACATCACTGTCCTGCAATGTAGTAGTTGCCATGGTTACTTTATTATTATTATTATTTAACTGAATAGAAAAAATGAACCACCTGTGTGACTTTTTGATAAGTGGGTGGGTCTAGGAGAGAAAGAAAAGCTTTCCCCAGACAGTCAAAAAGGTAGGGGGCTTACCCTTTTGTCAACTTTTTCAGATTTATTTCAAATGAAAGAGGATGTATACTTTAGCTGCTAAATATGAATATATTTGACTTTTACCTGACTGTCCCCTTTTTGAACCACATACTCCTGGAGGGCACGGCAGACAGGTGCCTGCCCGCACAGAAATGACAAGGTGCTTAATGAGCCACAAAACACATTTTCTTCTTTCGAACAAATAAAAAAAAAAGCATACACGGGGCTCTTCCTGAAGAAAGTACCTAAAACAGCCGGGAAGAGAGAACCCCATCATTCTGAATGCATGAGAGAGGCTCACAGACTTAAGAGATATCCCCTTCTCTCCCTGGCCATCATCAGCCAGTCTGAATGAGGCTGAGAGCCCCCAGATTTTTGCTATGGTGGAAGTGGAGGCAGGGTGTCCTTGGTAGAGAGTGTCCGTGACTCTAGAACTTTCTCCCCTTGTCAGTCCATGAGAGCACAGTTTGACCTTGTAGGGGATCATGCAAAGCCTATTTTCATGCATTTGCGTGAGGTAGGTTATATGAAAGACTTCTCTGAAGACAGAACAGGGAATGAGGTCAGAGTGCCACACCTAGGTGGGCTAATATATAAAATACCACCACCACCTAGCTCTTATAGAATCATAGAATCGTAGGACTGGACGGGACCTTGAGAGGGCATCTAGTCCAGTCCCCTGCACTCAAGGCAGGACTAAATATCATCTAGGCCATTCCTGACAGGTGTTTGTCTAACCTGTTCTTA